CGTCGTCCAGTTTAAGACGTTAGTTATTTTATTATTTATTCATTCAGTTTTGTATGGTGGAGTTTTGTGAGGTTTATTATTTTTTTGCGACGTTCTTTGTTTACTTGTTTACGGTTTGAGAGATTTCAGTTTATTTGATTTACGTTTTTACGGTAGCTCTGAGCGGGACTTGAACCCACTGTCTTTTCAAGCTAATTTTGTTTTATTTTGATGGCACGCTTGTGTACCACGCCACGACGTTGGTCGTTAAGTGGTGTTCATTTTTCTAACTACTCCAGTGTTCCGATGAGTTGAACGGAAAAGCCAAAACCATTGCTGGTTTCTGATTGCTTCGGTTCTGGTGAGTGTGTATCTAGTGTGATTCGAACCCATGTCGTTTGTATTGGACGTTTTTTTATTTCCCATGTTGGCTACGCCGTAATATGCAACCACTTCCCTGTTTTATTGTGATTTTGAGTGTTTAATGATGTCTTCCTCACCTGTCACGCCATGACCCAGTTTCAACCACACGGCCATTTTGCAACACAGTTCTTCGTGACCCTCGTGACCTAATATGAGCGTTCTGTTCAACTGTTAAGCTAGGATTTATTACCGTTATTATCATTATATTGTCACGTGATTTGTTTTACCTTATGTGTAATGTCTTAAGTATCTTTATTGTAATTTGTATATACCAATTCGTATATACCGAGGAAACGACCCCGATTGAAGGTCATGTATTTTATGACGTCACCAATTCGTGTGTAGCTACTGCTTCTAGATCTGTGCCGTTAGCTGCGGTTGTCATTCTGTCTTTCTGTATTGTAATTGACAAATAGTTAGTCAGTCAGTTAATTAATTGATTTTACACATGATAGATATGTTATATATTTGAGATGGGGTGAGGGGTGGATAGGAAAAAAAAAAAAACGCTATCACTGTCTTTATGATTACAACAAATAACATAACAAAAAAATACAAACCACTGGCATATAATATTTTCTAATCATTGCTGTTAATCACAACTTAATAATTTATTTTTGCTATTAGAAGCAGAAACTTTTGTCTGCAGTGAAGGAGACGCAAGTTAAATTCTTGTCACCAGTTGACACAGACTATAAGGCATTGGTAAGTCTCAGTGATTCTCTACATAAACATCTGCATATTATTTATAAGAAATAAATGCTCCACTGAGTTGAAATTATTTTTCATACAATATCAATTTTCCTGTATTGAAAGGAATTCTGCTTAGGAGAAAGCTAAAAACGTTGAAATATTGTGAAAATAATTTTCAATACAAAACTTCTTTTTAAAAGTGACATAGTATACAAGTTCATAGTGTTTTATAATTTGTTTTCACTATCATTCATTTTTTTACTATTTCTGTTTATAAACAATAACCATGACTTTTTCTGTATCGTCTATGATTTCAGTTTGTTTTCTTGTTTCACAAGCTATTTCTCCCCCACAGGTGGCTGAGAATTATGATAATTTTGTAGTACAACCTGGAACAGAACTTTCCTCAGAACTTCATACCAGGTTACAGCAGGGATTTGAGACTTTACTTACCAATGGTTACCTCTACCAGCATAGAATCCGATTCCGAAATAAAACTGTGATGACCCCAGTGTCTCGAACTCTGATCGGTGAACCGGGCATGACGTACAGATATTTGAATTTACGATTATTTGCGCTACCATGGACGTTTGATGATAAAAAAAAACTCAGTGATGTGGAAAAAGCGTGCAATGCTTTCTATGAATTAAACACTTATTTCAAAGACCATGTGAATAAATTAATAACTGAGAAATTTGCTTCATCTACTGGTAGGAAAATTGATGAAACAGACGATAGTTTAAAAACAATAATTCAAAGAAATACTGAATTTAAAGCGACCATACTGAACTATATGGACCCAAGTGAGATTAGATTAAAACAAGAACCGTACTATAATATGGGGGATATAGCAGTCAGTTGGCACAAGGATGAGAGTCTAGTAGATGGGTCCACGGTTGCCGTTTACAATCATGTACCCATGGGTAAGTCTCGCTTTTATTCCATTCTTTTAACGATTCAGAAAACTCGCCTGATATTCATATACCATGTCATACACAAAGGGCAGAGGTCGTCACACCCTTGTGCATTTTGGGTTGTATAAGTCATAGTCTGTGGGTCAGATGCATTGTAAATTTTAAGACACAAAACACATTTGAATACTTGTGACTGTGAGGAAAATCGACCTGTACATGTGGCTTTAGTACCGGGTAGATACATTTTTTTGTACTGTTTTTCTCTATTTCTATCCATGCTTTTGGAACTTACGCAGGAGTTTATATGGTCAAAATAGGTAATATTTTAATGATTCAGTATAAAACGAATGCAATTTTTAATACCCCGGCTTAGTGTTCTAGGTTCTTCGCATAATTAGGTGTTCGTATGCAAGGTATTTTTTCACACAAAAACGACGAATTAGGCCGAATTTTGTTATCGGTTGGCTTAATATAACCCCAACGGACCGTATTTTTGTGAAAGATTGGTATTTTTGTCCTGATTTGTAGGAATCTGAAAAACGCATTTCACAACTTGTCCTTATTTAGTTTTATGCGTCATTCAAGATGGCGGCCCCCATATAGTAAATATCGTATTTATTTTATTATCACGTGTGCGCCAGCTGACTATGGTCATGATGGTCTTGTTTAAATTATGCTTTGTTATTGTATTGCTACCTTCAAATGTGCTGTGGCTTATTACGGTAACCACAGAAGATGATTAGTTCCTGTGCCATGCATCTTATATCAGTTTGTACATGATCGGAGACTGATTTGAGTAAACAAACAAACAAATAAATTAACTTGCAAAATGATCATGTACATTGTGGAAAAACCTAAGCAACTTGGTTTAAAAATGGGCAAAAATATATTGTATAATTGAAGAAAAAGTCAAGCCTTACAACATGCTACTCCAAGATAAAAGATCTTCAAACTAATTCGCATCAGTATTTCTCATGTTATAGATGAAAGTATTTTCTCAATTTTTCAAAACAGTGGATATGATGTCACACTTTACACATGATCCTTTGCCGGAGAATCAAGATGACAAACTACACAATACTGATGAAAAGTTGAATTTCTAGAGAATGAAAAGAGATAAAAACTGTAAATTGCATTCTCCTACATTTGTGGAGCTTTTTCTTTAGGATTATTATGTTGTTTGGCTTGACTTTTCCTTTAAAATGAAAAATCAGAACTGTAATGGATAGATGGATTTTTTAATTTGGAATCATGTATAACAGGACAACATTGTTCAGTCTTTTCTCCATAGATTTGCTGTAAAAATTGAACATTTTTCATGGTCCCTTTTTGTATTTATTTAATAACCAGTAATATATGTCTAAGCAGGGCGTGTCTTCTTTCTAGAGGGAGCTTAAAAGACAATTCCTGAATATCCTGATTACAATTCTGATTTCATTTCTTCTTATATTATCTGTTCATCAGAAGCAAGGCAAGATTGCAGCAAGTGGAAAGTTGGACTGAAAGTGGCATGGGACATCACAACACCAGCTGTCTGCACCCCATTGAACAATAAGGATTGTTATTATATGTTAGATACTATGAATGATACACATCAACATTGTGTGATTGCAGGAACTCTACCGAGATATAGCTCTACTCATAGAGTAGTGGAGGTAAGGCTTGTATTCACTCTTTTTAGCTCCGCTGTTGACTTTGTCGAGTGGAGCTTATCATATGAGTGATTGTCCATGTCAATGTTTTACTTTTTCGACTTCTTCTTGAAAACTACAAGCCTGAATGCTCTGATACTTGGTGTATACATGTATGTACCTTGGGTAGACCTCTCTTAGATTTGTTCATTTCATGATGATATCTTCAATTCTCTAATTTTGATGAATATTTTTGGTAAAAAGTGATATTTTCGACTTCTTGTTGAAAACCACATGTCCAATTGCTTTGATATTACATATATAGGTACTACATGTGGACCTCTCTCAGATTTGTTCATTTCATGATGATATCTTCAAGTATCTAATTTTGATGAATATTTTGGCCATTTTTGGTGAAAAGTGATATTTTCGAATTCTTGTTGAAAACACCAAGTCTGATTGCTTTGATACTATACATATTGTTCATTTTCTAATGATATCTTCAGTTCTTTAATTGAAATGTGCATTGCTAACAGCGGAGCTATCTCAGCCGAGAGTCTGCTTGTCTTGTAGATGTAAACAAAACAGTGCTGACTATAGCAGCATCTCTGTAGTGTTTGTAATCACATGCACTACTAATAAAGCAAATGCAGTAATAATCACATTGTATCTTATATAAAGCATTACAGTTACTGTGTCCCACCAATACCTGTATTCAATTTGGGTCAGAGTAGAGAGATTGTCTGGAGAGGTATATTTTTGTGGCTGGGAATTGGTTGATATTTTCACATTTCTGTTATTTAATCCTGGCAAGCAGGTATTTTAGAATATACACAATGTTCCTATACCATTGGTGGTTTGTCATCAAGATTCAGCATATTTTTTTGACGTAAAAAACAATTGATTAAAACATAGGGATACTGAAATAATAGTGAATGGTGTGTTAATATGTTAATATATGTATTTGTTTTTTGAAATGTAAATATATGTAGATGAGCAGAGATATGCAAGTACAATGTATATGTAAATATTTCTGACCATTTACAGAGTTCTGACAGTACACTATGTTATATTCAACAAAGATGCCAGACTGCGCTTGATAACATTGGCTACAAAGATCAAATACCTTACTTGAAATCTCTGGAAACTGACGTACTTCAGCTGATTGAAGAAATACACAGTGAGGTAAGAAATGTATTGACCTATGGATTTGTGTTTAGAGTAAAGCTCAGAAATATTCCGGCAGCAACTTGTACACTGATTCAACGACAACAACTGGTTTTGACTTATCATTTGGCCCACAAGAGTTTTCGGTTCCTACAAGTGGTCGCATCCATCCACAATGGTCAAAGCAAAACTACACGACCAAGCAATTTGGTCTATTTACCAGTATGTCAACCTCAAAAACTTTTAACTCATTAAAATTAGATTGTTAATTGGCAGAGACAGAATAACCCAAGTCGCAGCACAGTATCTCTCTTCACATTGAAACTGTCATAGTTACGTCAAATGGTTGAATAATAATTAAAGTTTGTGGTAAATTAATGAGCAAGTTTGCTAACTTTCTACTAAATACTTTGGAGGCTAGTTTGTAAGTCACATAAGAGTAATCATGAAATAGTAAACTGCTGGTGTGCTGGTCTTTAGTTTTGTTCTTTTTATTCTACTAGATTGAGTTTGAATGGTTACGGCAATTCTGGATGCAAGGCACTCAACATTCTCAAGAAAGACAGTATTGGTTGAAACCAATGGAACAATTACAGGAAGATTGGAAGACAATGGAACTTATGGTAGGTGCAATCAAATATCACACAACTGTTTATTTAGTGAATTTGATGAAATTTGTTCCTAATAAATGCCATAATTGTTTTCTAAAAATTTTTAATTTTGATCAAATGTTTATTTTGTGAAAAGTGACAAAAGTTGACGTTGATATTCAATGATGAGTCAAAAAAGTTGAAAAAACCCACAAAATTTCAATATGTGAACATCTGTTACTCAAGCAAGCCAGAGAAAATGTTATTAACATCAAACATAGTGGGTTATTCTTGGCATTAACATAAAGTTAAAATACGGTTCAGGAATCCACACTTGATATGCTTCTACAGACATTTTGTGTTCTTCACTGTCAATACTAGTACAATGTCATTGACAATTACTTGAGTATAGTAATTATAAAAAACAGTTTTGTTACATGTGATTCATACGAACATTCAAGATCACTGTTACAGTAGTTTTTCAAATGTTTTAATACCAAGTTCAAATTGCCTTCCAGCCGTAATAGCACGACTGAAGAACGGATGGATGCTAAATTACAAGTCCCTCTCTGCAATTGTCAAATTACCCCAATATTTCAATATTTTGTTTTTGCATTCAGACAAAGCTGATGATAGACATTGTAGTCAAGAAAAAAGACCAGTCACATATGATTGCCAAGATACTGTTGCCTTCTTTGGTGGAGAGAAATGAACTTAGGAACGAATGGATGAATAGGTAGGTATTCCCATATAGCGCCCTCTAGAAGTAAGATTTCTATGAATGCCTCATTGTGATTGGTTGATGTTTTATTAATTTATACAAGCCTGAAAATAACCCACATGGTTAGTCGTTCAATTTATGTAGAAATTGTAATGGTCAAACAAGATTTCATGTTGCTGGCTTTTGATAATCACATATTTTTGGAAAATTCCCATTGAAGATGTAAATATCAATGACCACCGGTAGCTTTATTGCATGCATATTAGATAAAATTGTTTTTTTTTTATTTCTGATTACAGCTGAAACTTAATTTTAATTACCAAATTCCTAACCCATTGAACTAATGTAAAAATTTGTATACTTTGTGATAAAATTGAAAATATGTTAAATATATCCATAGAGGTGCTGTGTTACATATTTTACAGACTTGAGAAATAAAGGAAATTGAATATATGATGAACACATTATATTGGCATTTCAGATACAGCGAGAAAGAATTCTATCATATTCCAGAGGAACACAGACCAATATATGAACCATGTTGGACTGATGCCAATTCTGAAATGCCTTTGCCATTTGACCTATCTCAACACATAGACATCATACAGGAGTGCATGGATACAAACGATTCTCAGTAAAGAGCGCGGGGACAATGGCAATGTAACCCTGTAATCAAACTCAACAGAATATATATAATATTTTTTTTATTCATTATTAAAAGTATACATTTTCAATTTTATTTGATTATGTACTCTACAAGCGTATTTGTTACTCTGCTCTCGTAAAGATTTGTATACATACACCATAACATGTGTAAATAATTTTACTAAATGTTAATTTTTAAAGATTCATATTTCCATTATTAATGTATTGATATAGAAAGAATAAATGATTACTGCCTAATCAGTCACTACAAATATATCCACATCTCTAAATAAATTGTGAAAATGACAGTAGCATACGTTCAGAAGGCCATGATGTAATAATTCAGGTGGAGTGCATGAAAAAAGGAATATAATCCTCTGCTTTGCCATTTTACTACAAAAGAACATTGCATGTGCTGGGTAAGTTTGTACATCGATATCTAGCTTATGTGCACAACTCCAGTGATAATGCATTCTAACCTAGTCTCTGTAGTATCCATGCTTATTGTGTTTTTTTTTTTCAAATCTCACCTTTCCCTGAATATATCATCTTTATTAAACTTCTGTTATAATTTACATTTCACAATGAATAACCATAGCTCTATACCTCCCAGTGACTTTCGTGAATCTGTTTCCCAATTTAAAGCTCTTATTTCATCCGATAGTAGTATTCAACTAAACCACAGTACTTGTTGAGTAATTTTTTTTTTATAATACTTCATGTTTACCTTTTAAAAAATGGAATTATTTTTGTTCAACTACTTACAGATAAGTAGATAGTGTTTTTTTTCAACGAATTCATTGTGTAGGAACTTTGCTTACCCCACAGAAAATCAAAAATAAATGAGCACTAGAAAAATTACCTGAATTTTGTTAAAGCAACAAGTGGGACAAAATATCAACATACCGGGAGATACTCTCCCCAAAGAATAATTCCCTAACAAGGAAATACTTCAATGTCAACATGACTGATGGATGTCGTTTATAAAATAACTTGTAGGAATAGTGTATTGCATAATTAGTACTGGTATGTACAAATTCCTGTGTAGACATGCACACAGAAGAAAGAAACTCAGTCAAGTATTAATAATAATATATTTAGATTTCGATACTATGTATGGAAGCTGAACTACGGTACTTAAAGTATATTATTAAGAGCCTGTAGTACTAGCTCTCCATGTTGGCAAGAAGAAGGTACCCCAATCACGACAGTTTTATGTCTAGAAATGCCCATTATAAATACACCATTACAGTATACAAAATTGACTTGCTTTTTTAGTAGCACATGATAATACATAACTGATAGAAGTGTGTTTATAGTCTAATAGTCATATTTCAAAGATCTAGTATGCAATAAATGCAATTCTTAGGTTTATGTTAATCTCTATTGGAGATGTGCTTCTTCATATTTAGTAATGGTTGTCATATAAATTAATATAAAATATTGGTAATATTTATGATTTGATAATACATTTAATTTGTGAGAAGAATCAAATGGTTTTAAACCTTTCAGTGCCAATTTATTTTTTCCCACTCAAATTTGAGTAAATTTGTTTAGTTTTTTTGTAATTTTCTGAATTCAATCTTTAATTTTGGACCAAGAAAATAAAATGCGACATTGCTTCTAGTTTTCATGTGGAAAATTGGAGACTATAAATGTAACTATGGTGTGGATGGTGCTGAAAGGGTTAAACCGGTGTCATGATTTTAATTAGCAGTGTTCTCATCAGGAATTAAATAAGTGGGGTAGAATTGTTTCATCAGTTTAGAAACTAGAAACAGAAGTAGGTATTTTGTTCCTCAAATGTACTCCAATATTTATTGTGTTTGAATTTTATTCTACACTTACAAATAATCACTTGTATTTTCTTACATTGTTCTGAGACAATTTGTCTCATGAGAGTAAAAAACCTGGGACAAAAAATGAAACCATGAGGCAAATGTTGTATGTCTCGTCTGGAAAGAACACTGAATTAGTAACAAAAATACATCCAACGGACAAATGAAAATATAAATACTGTTAGAAATATAAGTGTTGGGAAATGATAAAGTATCAAAATTGCAGTGTAACTGTGGCAGTGTTCAGCAAACGATATTACACAAATTATGAAAGACCAAGATCTGGTTCTGATTCAGTTCTTCTAAGTTCAACACCCCTGCAAAAAAACAAACAAAAAAAAACATCAATGATTATGGAGTTAGATATTTTGTGGTGATAATCTTAAAGCAATAGATGTATCTAAAGTGTACATTATCAGGAATAAGGGTACCATAATATTTCTGTCTATGATTGCATGTCAATATCACAGTTACAGCATGCATACAGTATTTGCTCTAATACAAGTGCATGTAATCAAATACATGTATTAAAAGCTACTTTGGATTGATAAAATCATCCTTTGAAACAGAGAAATATGTCCTTTGAAAACTCAAACAAATTTCCCATGCTAGTGTATGATGTTGCACATTTCATGGATATGTGAACTTGCATAGAAAACGTGCAAGGTGCAGGTTTGAAGCGTTGCGCATGATGACTGAAGCAAAACCTGTTTTTTTTT